TACAAAATAGGTAAAAATGTGTGACTTGTACTGTTATGGTAACGGGTCAATATCGGTATCGGACATTTCTCAAAGTTGTAATATCGGTATCGTATCGGAAGTGAAAAAGTGGTATCGGGACATCCCTAATAAATAAACAACACCAATACCAAATGACATTGTAAATTGTACTATTTGAAATAAACTCAAAAAACTCAAAGTAATATTGAGACATATATTTAAAAACAACTTGTTGTAAAGTAAAAAAAAGAAGAAAGTTGTCATTGTGGTAGATTCCCTTAAAGGGGACATATCATGCAAAATCCACTTTTTTTTAGCAATTAAATGCATTTTGATTTTGTTGTATACTTGGAGTCCCTAGGACTGCGGAAAAGTTGAATTTAGTCTCTTCTGGTGCTGCGTAGAAAACTTTAGGTTACTGTCGTAACCCTGGTTCTCTGAGTAGCATGAGTGAGTGTCACATTGGGAATGCCTTTGGTGTGATCTCATCAGAAGCTCATATTACATTACACCAGCCAGGATTGGCTGAAAATCAGCCTGTCAGTGACAAGGAGGGCCACGACCCTCCCCCTATATACAGGGCTGTTCCTGCACTGACAGGTTATTCAAAAAGATTATCACCTCTTCCTCGCAACGTTAGAGCAAGGAGGGCGACTTGGTGAGACACTCACTCATGCTACTCAGAGAACCGGGGTTACGACAGTAACCTAAATTCTCTTTCATAGCATTCGTTTCGTGTCTCACATTGGGACTGAAAATATACTGACTCCCGTATTGCTCAACAGACTTCACTACATGCCAGCTGATCAGAACATCACTTCTTCTGTGCACTTGGTGCTACACTCAGAACTGAATGAGCCAGTGATGGTGCTGTGACATCAAGTTTGTAAAACCGAGCAAATGTGTGAGGAGAAGCCCAGCTTGCTGTGGCACAAGTTTCCTGAAGGGACATCCCTTTAAGCAGAGCCCATGAAGAGCTTAATTAAGCCCCTGGTGGAATGGGCATGCAGACCCTCAGGAGGCTGCAGCCCGTTTGAACTATATGCTAAGGCAATCGATCCAGTGAGAAAACCGCTGTTTTGTTACCGGTTTCCCGCACTGATTTTTAGCCCAAGAGACAAACAGTTGGTCACTTTTTCTGACCTGTTTCGTCCTGTCCATGTAGATACGTAAAGCACGTACTGGGCAGAGTTTATGTAGCCTCACCTGCTCCTCAGAAGAGAACGGAGGAGGATTAAAAGCCACTAATTCAATAGGAGAGTAAGAACCCAACACCTTAGGCTCAAAAGCAGGGTTTGGGAGCAGGGTCACCTTAGAATTGTCCAAAGAGAATTTTGTGTAGGATGGGTGAACTGATAAAGCATGAATTTCACCCACACGCTTAGTAGAGACAAGTGCCAGCGAAAATGCTATTTTCAGTGCTACCAACTTTAATTCCACCTGATCCAGAGGCTCAAAGGGCGAAGTAGTGAGAGCCTCCAGTACCAGAGGAAGGTCCCATGTAGGAGTCATAGGTTTTGAGACAGGCAGTTTTCTGCGAGCCCCCTTCATAAACCGACCTACTAAAGGATGTTGGCCTGCTGTTTTTCCCTTGAAGCCTATGTGGCAGGCTGAAATAGCTGCCAAATAAA